AAGCCAAAGGATTTGTATTCCTTTCCAAGCTCTGGAGGCTTCAAAAATTACAAAAAAAGCAAGGAAAAAAAAAAAAAAAAAATCAAACCACTAAAAAGAGGCCCTAATTCATATACCATATATTTTTTTTCTTTTGAGTCCTTCTTCAGGCATAAAGGCTGATGATTTCAGCTGCTAGCCAGCACAGGAGTTGGCCCTAACAGCCCCACATACTAGGCATCTGATTGCTGCTCTCCTCCTCCTCTGGGGTTCTGCAAAGCTGTTGATAGCTTTCAGCACCAAACCACGTAGCACATCTGGTTTTCTATTTACACTGCCTGTCATGCTCTTAGCTGCTCTGGAAGCACGTATATTGAAGAGCGGTCTGGGTTAGCCAAGTGACTCCTGCGAGAGAGGTGACATCCTTATTTTCCCCTCGCCGACTTCCGTAGCAAACGTGTTTAGTTTTGCAAGTTTCCAAGGGGATATCTCATCTCCACCGCCCGTCCCCTAACTTTCTGGCTCTAGTGCACTACTGAAGGACGAAGCGGCGTTCTTCCCGGCATCCTCCGGGGGCTCGGAGAGAGCGGTGATGGGGAGTTCAAACTTAGCTGGTACCTGGGCCCAGGGGATTAAGTCCTGCTTGCTCTGCTGGGCAGGTGGCTTCTTGGAGCTGTCAGTAAACTGCACAGATGTGGCCAGTAAGTCACCAGCGGGGATGGGCAGCATGATCCACTGGCCAGAGTCCCGGCAGGGAGCCAGTCCAAAGAAGTGGCAGCGGTGAATTCTTTAGGGTTGATCCAAAAGGGGGAAAAAAATTGTAGTGAACCCGAGTCTCAACGTGTGTTTTCTGTCAAAAGAACTATTTTCCTGAACCCGAGCAGCAAGGTGCCATTTTGGGGTCTAGCGGTGGAGTTTTTCCCCACCCCTTTCCTTTCCTTTGCAGCCATCGGAGAAATAGTTGACAGCAAAGTCATTTTGAATGAAAAAATAGAAAAGGTTGACAAACATGTTACACTCCTCCTTGGGGCTTCTTTCCAAATGGACCCACTGAGTGATTTTGCCATGGAGCAGTTTGAGCAGATACAGATCTGCACATTTCGGGGAGGGAGTTGTTCATCCAAACCTTTTGGCACAGCTCGAGTGCAGCTCCTCTGCCTCTCCTAAGGCACAAAAATCCACCCCGCACAGTGAGCACAAGCCCTGGGCATCAGCCAATTTCCGCCGCGGTCCTGAGGGACATTGCAGTTGTGGTCCCACGCGCAGTGCTGCGGCTTGCTATAGAAGAGGCGAGCGCTCAGCAAACGACCAACCGTTAGCTTCTCGCGGGGATGACGATCCTTTTTTTCTTGCAAGGAACTGTGCTTCCTAGGAAGCTTAACCCACTAAGCATCCCTTGACTAGCAAGGAGTTAAAACACCCCGTGGAAGGCAGGCAGCCCAGCAGCTTCTTGCCCGGTGTCCCTTTACAACCTGGTAATAAAAAAGGGATTATGGAATTGTAATTGCACAGGATACTGTTACTGCAAGAAGCAGGGGACTTGTAGCTAAACAATAGGGCATCTGGCTTCCATTGTTGGTACCGAGGAGGATTATCTCTCTGCTCTCCACAAAACCTCTCACCTGTCAAATTTCAAGTAGCCTCGGGAACAACGCGCCTCTCCGTCTGAAGTGACGGGGCCTTTGTTAAATGCACGGGAGGGAGGGCGGGAGCAGGGGACCCGAGTGTGTGTGGCTGCATCTGGGGGAGACGGCTGGCTCGGATCTGTATTCAGTAAGGAAGTGGCCTAGGGGAGAGGATTGCTTCCAGTTTGCGGGGCCCAGTGCGGCTGAGCGGGGAGGGCAGGCAGCGGGAGTAACGCTATGCTCCCAGCCAGCGGGCATTGGGTTTCATGGCAGTGCACAGCACTACAAGGACCACAGCGGAAGAAGAAAGCTGAGCTTGCATGGAGGGGGGCGAGACCCTAGACCAGAGTGTACAGCCCCATGCCCCACTTCAGAGGATAGGGCTGCAGGCTACAGCCAGCTCAGAGAGCATGGGAAGACAGCACGGACCAGGCGCTCGGAAGGGAAAACCACACTGTTTGCTTCTTATTATGTTTATTGGAGCCATTGGTTAAGCGTATTGGTCTCTCTCCCATTCCCAAAGCCCCCTGCAAGGCCGGGAGAGAAAAGGTTTTGTCCTTTGTTCGCTGTTTATTTTTTTCCATTATAGACATTATTAAAAAAAATAAACTTTACAATAATACTTTTTTTGTTGTTGTTGCCATTTGATCGTTTTAAAAAAAGGAAAGAAAGGAAATTAAAAAAGGAAAGAAAAAAAAGCCACACAGTATATGCATATGGTTATGTATATACATACATATATGTAGATATAGTTGGTCTCTATATACATACACTATATATGTATATATAAAAGAAAAGAAAAACAGAGAGTAACATCCGCGGGCTTCCCTCCATGGATGGTTTATTTCATCCGACCCAAGCCCAATGGGATAAAGAAAACGATCTCCGTTGATGTAACGAATCGGAGACGTCAGGACAACATTACAATGCCGGATTATTTCTTCCCTTTTGCTTTTAAAATGTTTGCCAACCGTGGAAAAGAAGAACAAATGACAAGATCGAAAGAGCATCCCCTCAGAACTGGCAAAAACAAATCCTCTTGATCTCCAGCCGCCTGCTTTGTGATCCAGCACTCACCCATCGAACCGGCGACGCGGCCTCTGAGCAGGGAGCAGGGGCCCCCATTGGAAACGGTGGCTCTTAGTCTTTCAGCATGGGCACCCCCGCTGCAGCCCCAAGCGGCTGCCCCATCTCACCGCGGTTCAGTTCGGGGGGAAACGTGTTACGACGCCAGCATGTGGATCTCCCAGGCTAAGGAGTGCCAGACTTCATCTAGGGCGGGCGGCAAACGCACAGAATTGTCAAGCAGCAAACTGGAACCAAAGGCCGTGGGGAAATGGGGAAATAAGGTCTCTCTCCACCTTCCTGTAAACTGCAGCTCCGATTTCCGAGTCCTTCTAGGAACTGTCCAGCTTTCCCTTCTCGACCAACCTCACTGAAGCTCTGGTAGATCACCAAAGGCTTTCCCTAGTTCCTTTCGCAGCTTCAGATCCCCCGTGTGTGTGTATGCGTGCGTGCGTGCGTGTGTGCGCATGGGTGGGGGTGTGCGTTCCTGTTGGTCGTGCGCCTTCGGGCTCTTGCTTTGGAAAGGAAAAACAAAACAAAACAACCCAAACACCTTAAAAAAAAAGGGAAAGAAAAGAATATGGCCAAAGTTTTCCCCACTGGGACATGCGTCCATCTGGTAGTCGGTGCTCCTGGGGCAGGGGCGATCTCTAGTCTTGCGCATTAAGAGTCTGGCACAAGATATGTCGTGTATTTAATTCCTCAAAAGCAGAAACCCTGGGAGAAAACAAGTTGAGAGAGAGTATTCTTGCAAGAGTTCGTGTGTGCGGGGGTGTGGGCAAGTGTCTGTGTCCTGTTGGCAATTCCATTTTGACCCCGTTCCTCTCCTTTATAAAGCCAGTTTCACGAGAAAGAAGGAGATAGTGGAGAGGATCACTCCAGCTGAGTGTCGGCTGCTGGACGCTTTCGGGTCCAGAAAAGTATTCGGGTCTGGCATGCTGTCTGTGGGCAGCTGTGTCTGTGGAGAGGGAAAAAACAGGGTGTTAATTCAGCGCACACCTCTGTGTGGCTGCATCAGGAGCGGGTCTTGCATTGGAAGGCTTTAGCTGCCATACCACAGCCTCCTCATAGGTATTAAAGACAGAAGGGGCCATTACATTAGCTAGCTTGACTCCCTGCGTAACACAAGCCAGAGCAGTTTGCTCTGCCACTCTTCCATCATGCCTAGTGACTCGGTCTGACTAAAAGCAAGGATGCGGTCTTCACCTGCCAACTTCAAGAGATGGAGAATCCACCACTAGCCTGGGCGATGTTTCAATGGTGAATTGTCATCACCGCTGAGAATTTGGGCTACTCAGTTGCAAGTCAGAGTTGACCTGAAAAATGGGGGTGGGAAACAATGGGACATTTCTTATCTTGCTGGGAAACTTCCCAGATAGTGACTTGTGACTCCAAGTTAGAAACAATCTCAAAAACTTCTTTTTTTTTTTTTTTTTTTTTTTTAATTTTTCAAAACTCATTTTTTCCCCTAAATTCTATGGAGCTATTATTTTTCCCTCCAAAATTCCTAAAAAGTCAGCCACGCTCCATGGTTGGTTGAAAGAAACTCTGGGAAAACATCCTGGGCATTTCCTCGGCTTGTCCACTGTTGTCTAGTGGTACGTCTCCCGCATTTCAGAGTTCAAGAAGCATCAGTCCCCTGGTGTAAGACACCCCTCCTGCTCACACCTCCATGCACCCGAGTCCGCTTCTTCCCTCTCCCCAAGATGCTCCTTGCTACTTACTCACCTCCGAGATGCAGATATTCTGCTCTTTGGACTTGTTTAGCTTCTGCCCATGTTCCTGCAAAGGACAGAGCAAAGGATAAGCTTAAGCGAGGAGGTCACATGTAGCCCGAAACTGGGCCAATAGCAAAATAACATGAACCCCATTTTAGAGATCTGGAAACTGAGGCAGAGTCCACTGACAACTTACCCAGGCTCACACGCTGAATTTGTGCCATTCAGAGAAACAGGACCCAGGAGCCCTGACTACCAGTGACAGACCACCCATGCTCCAGCCTTGAGAGCTTGCAACAGGTCAGAGACTAATGCCCATCCCAGACAACTGATTGCTCCTAACCAGAGTCAAACAGAGCATTGAGGGGAGAAGCCAGACAAATCCAGACCCAACTGCCCTCCCAACACATCCCTCGTCTTTCTGCTCCAGCGCCGGATTCTCAACAATGCGAATCACTCTTGCTAGCTGGTGGCAAAGGAAAGCACCAGGCCGTTCAGTCCTCGTGGCAGCCCCACTCATCCCCCAGGCACGGCGGCCCATCCGAGGCATGCAAAGCATGGCTCTGCAGGAGCTGAACTCCTGTAGCTTTCCGCTGTCCTTGCAGAGCCGGCTGGCAAGGGCGTTTGGAAACGTTCACATTCTGATCACAGACCCTGCAATTATCAGGCTCCCACATTTGCATGGGGCCTTGGAAGGCAGTTCAGAGCGCGTCTCGCGTCGAAACGTTAAGTCTCTCTCTGTGCTCCTTGCGCACCGGGGCTGTCAGAAAGGCTTTGCCGAGGCGAGAAGAAAGAAAACGGTCTCATCCTGGGCTGCTCAGCCTCTGCCGCGCTCCTGCCCCATGCAGGCGGCACAGCATAGACGAGACTAACTCTTCAAATACACCTTCAGCTTCTGCCAATTCCCACTGACAAAGTTCACACCACCCTTGTGCCGCCGGCCTGCAAGCTTCCAGCAGATGCACCCGACTACGACCTATGCTGCAGGAACAGCCACAGGCCCCCATGTCCCAGGATAACAAATGCTTTCAAACTCCTAGTAACAGGCCCTATAGAGCTGGCGGCACAAGCAGCGCATTTAAAACGCGAACGTTTAAAATTCAAATCCCAGCCCCAGCAAGACATCCAAATGGCACGAGGTGAATTCCACCCCGCAAGCCATCCATCTCAGGACAGGCGTAGTTGTTGCCAGGACAGGAAGGGACCTCAGGAGGTCATTTAGTCCAGCCACGCTATAACCCAACCGCTGCCTCTACTCCCATTTACACACAAAAATCTCTTAGCTCAAGTGAAGTGGTTCTTCGCCGTTAAGCTAACCGGCTCGTTACTGGGTGTGGGCTGAAGCTCAGACTCTGCTGGTGCTGGAGCTAGGGATGCAGAACGGACTCAGCTACGCGGTGCTGCTAAATGCAAACTGCGGGTGCAGTTTGGGTCTGTTTTGCAGTATAAGGGCTGTCGCTCCAGTGAGGGTAATGCAAGAGGAGCTCGCTCAAGTGAAGGTAACTCGAGCTAGCACTGCAGTGAAGACAAGCCTTCACAGGAAGGTTGGCTTGTGTCAGATGATGACTTTGATGAACCATCTTAGCTGACACGCCGTCCAGCGGGACTTTGTTGTATTTACCACTGTCGGCAGGTGCTGGAGCCACAGTTATCATGAGGTTAAACACGTTGCTCCCTGTGTGCTCCGAGTGCAAACTCAGGCTTCACCATGAAGGTTGACATGACTCCTGATGACTGTGCTCTCACATCACCTCGCTCTCCAGCAAAGCTAAGCCCCAAGTCAGCATCTACCAAGCAACAGGCACAACACTATATCTAGATAACGGGGCCTGAACTCGGTGACCCAGAGGCCCCTTTCAAACCCGTATGCCTGTGTTGCAGGCTGTGGGGATAGCAGCAAGAGCCCTGGAGAGGAGTTAAGATGCTGTGTCAGGCAAACTGTCTCTACAGATAGATGTAGTGGTGCCTCCATGCAGAAAGAGGCAAGAAACGACTACCGTGGAGCAGCACGGGCAAGTATAGGCAAGGGCACACTGGGGTTTGCAGCACCTGAGCTCAAAGGAAATCTCTTTAATTATAAGCACATGTGGCTTCCATGAACAAGTAATGGAAGGGCACTGCAGATGCCTGTGCTACAGCTAGGCTTCAAGCTTTTGGACCGCCCAGTGATGCACAGGTTCGGTTTCCTACGGGAACCTTTGCTGACGAGAGCAAGGGAGGGTGAGCTCAGCAAAGGAAGCATGCTTCGGAAGGGAGCAGGTAAAAATGAAGAACATGCCGCTAACAAGAGCCCCTCTCAGCCCTTCTACAATAGGCCTTTCAGCACTGGAGAAGGGTATAAAAGCACCTCTTGATGGGAATGGAGATGAAGCCATTAGGCTCTTTCTCTCTTCAACACCTTCCTTTCTTGCTTTTGCGACTCAAACAGTGAGCATAGAGGGATGGCCAGATGGGGATCTGTGCTGGCTGAGCAAGTAGCATGGTCTCACCGGGCTTTCCCGCCCATTCAGAGCCTCGGTGCCTGAAGAGGGACCACGTGCCTTCGCTCCACACCGCCTCGGACACAGGGACACGCATGGACGTGCACTTGGACGCTTGCATGGCACTCCCAAGATCGGCAATAACAGAGCTTCAACAAGCAAAGTAACCTTTTCTTTCCATTCCCTCACCCCAAATCACACACCTAAAGGAACAGAGCAAAACGGGAACCCAGAAGGCCAGATTTCCACTACCCCCACTTCTAATCCACAACCTGCATCCTGGCTCTGCATAAAGATGTCCCAGCTGAGCGCACAGTCACGCTCTCACTCACCCTGGCACACAGTCGAGTAACTCAACTCCAGGCAATTTGATCCCAGTATAATTCCAGTGGGCTCAAATCTGCTTTCACTTACAAGTAAAGCTGGAGCGGTGCTGTGGAAATCAGAGAAGCCGTGCCAGTATGAACACAAGAACCAGACCTGATGAGCTTACTGGTGCTATTCCTGATTTGCACTGCTGTCACCGAGAGAGGACTCAGGCCCCGCAGGTCAAAACCTGAAGTCTTTAACCCAGGGTCATATCCCGATCGCATCGACATGGGTGTAATTCAGGAGCAATACCAACGACAGTCATGGATTTGCAAGGACCAACCGAGTCCGATTCTGGAGCAGATCTTGAGTGGGGCCACTGGAGCGGGTGCAGCGGCACAGGCCAAATTGGCTGCTGACGCAGAGTGATGCCGCACGACTGAAGGCAACGGCGGCCACGTGGACTCATGAAAAACGCAACTCTTGGGTCAGGCCCACTTCAAGCAGAATCCACCTGGCCTATCACTACCTGGTCTATTCTCATTCATTGCTCCCACTAATTTTTCCCCGAGCAGCCACCAGAAAGGACCTCTGCGGAGGTCGTGCGGCTGCCTAAAATCAGCACCGGCCTCCTGGACACCGGTTCTCAGGCAAGGACCCCGACATGCACCCACGCCGCCCGCTCCCGTCTGTAACCAAGCAGCAAACGGAGGAGCAGCACGGACAACCACGTTACTCCCCCCAGCCTCTCTCGCCACTTCGGAGGAGGACGGACCCGCTGAGCACGTCTCTCCATAAAAGGGAGCCGAGGCACCCACAAAGGCAGCGTTGGGGCCCTGATGTGCTGCAACTCTAGCATGAAATTGAGCCGCTGATTGTCTCATGGAGTGGTAACTAGAAAACATAAGATGTAATTACTCAAGCACGCCAGATCTAATTAGAGGCTGCCCAAGGGTGACATTGCTGCCTTCACGTGGGCTCGCCGGCCTGAAGAAAGATGAGAGAGACCGACTTTGTTTCTGCCGAGTCACAGAAATGTCCTCCAACTGGGCTGCGGGTAGGAGAAGCCCAGCTCTCGAGGCCCCAAGGGCAGAGACCCTGGTTGAACTACTGGCCAGGTATGCCCGTGCCTGCGACTCTGCAGCTCAGATCCAGATCCCAGGTGGAGACGGAGTCAGACCAAGTCCTACCTGGATGGACGTGCAGGTGGTAATAACGCTCGTGTCGTAGAGGGTGTTGCTGTCGTTGACATCATCTGGCAAAATGGGGTTGTTTTCGGTCTTCGGGGGCGCGGTGACAGGGGGCGAAGGGTTCTTGGGGGAGAGGTTCACATCTGTGCCATTGCCAAAGGCCTGAATGGCGTTCCCTGGAAATAAGAGGAGACACGGGATTTTAGCAGGGGGGCAGAAATGGGTTCGCTGTTAGCTACTACCCAGGAAACTCGCTCAGCAAACCATCAACATAACCAGGTGGGCCTTCCCAGCGGGATTGCCAGCTCAAACACCTCCCCCCCGAGATAGCACTCGGCGCAAGAGGTGCCTGTGGGACCGTGCGCAGGACTCGCTTAGCTCTAGCTCGCTGCAGGAGGGCAAGTCCTCGAGTTTCGTTTGCACACATACCACTTGGAGATGCCTGCCCCAACAGAGAGAAACGGGAGACACTGGCCAGCAGGGAAAGTGGGTGGTGGGGGTGGGCATCGAGAACATGTGGGCAGGATATTGCTTTTCTTTCACACGCACTCCCTTTTTCCTGCTGCACTCTCTCACCCACACACTCTTTCCATCCTCCTTTTCTCCTCTTTTCTTACTATCCTCGGCTCTCCCTGCCCCCTTGCAATTCTGTGCTACACGCACACAGTCTGTCCGCTTCACGCAGGGTGCGCTTCGACACCTCTAATCAATCCCAGCTCTGCTGGGGACCCCAGCCCCAATGCAGGGGGGTCGAGGTGACTTCCTATCAAGAGCTCCTCTGTCTCCCTGAAAAGCTCCTGGATTCCTTTGGGCCTGCCACTCCTGGGCATGCAGCGAGTTTCAGCCGCTCTGCCATGCAGAAGATCGGGGATGGCAGGTCTTCTGCTCCCCCTTCTCAATCACACGCGTGTGCCTAGCCTGTTTTGAGGTGGCACTTTGGGGAGGTTCTTCCTGACCACACAGGCAGGACGGGGGGAAGCCGAGAGGGCACTGATCCCCCCCTGCTTTAGCGGCACAGGACCCACTCCAAACTGGGGCGCACTATCTCCAGCTCTGCTCCCTGCTGTAGTGCTGTCATGGAGAATATGGCATTTGTTGGTGGAAGTTGCATTCGGTTATGTCACCTGCAACGAGCCCGGTTTCCTCTCCAGCTCAGTCTGCAGCAGGAGCATCTGGGAGACACGGCGGCAACATTTAGGGAAAGGAGAGGAAGAGGGAGGAGAGCTATGGGGTGGAGTGACTGGGGGAAAAAAGCCCCCAAAAGCAGTCTCTGCTGCAGCCAGATGGAAAAGGCAGCCTTCCACTTCACCCTCCTCCATCCTTAAACCTTTCCCCTTCTTTCTTTCCTCCATCCTCTCCTTACCATCCTTCCCTACCTCCTTCAAGCTTCCCTCTCTCATTTTTTATCGCTTACAACCTAGAAGCAGCTGCACCTATTTGAGAGGGGGGTAACCTCTCCGGAGCCCCTCGGTCTGGAACAGCTCAGGGCAAAACAGCTCCAGCCCCAACAAGCGTCACAAATCTCGCGTTGGCCTTCATGCACTCGGCAGCTCCATTGTGCTTGGTCCCAGAGCTGCCAGGAAAGCTTATACGTAGATAAATACATGACTGCTTATGTAGGATGGCTCTTTTCTGAACCAGAGCCGCAAGCCCGGGCGCTGTCCCGCACTTCCTTTCCCCCGCCGTTTATTTTTCCAGGCACTGTGACTAACCAAATCCCCTCTCCTTCGTGGGAAGGGCAGGACCAAGTGGCAAGGGCAAAATATGCTGGGCCCACTGGCTCCTTGCTGAGCTCTCTCATTTCCATTATCCCTGAACCAGGCAGGATCGGCTTGACCGCTCGATGCGGAAGGGAAGCCGCTGCCCTCGAGGGAGCTTCACAGGCAAACTTCCCGATGATTAAACTGAATAATAACTAATTAAATGGATAAAACGATAATAAACAATGGAGAGAATGAAGCTCCTGGAGCCCAGTGCGCTAGGGCCTCTTTCATCAAGGGGACCTTGTCAATACCAATCTGCAAGGTTGTACGATTTCCCCCCGCGCCACACAGCATACTAATGACTGCACACCCGTGTGGAAGTAGAAGAGGAGGACGGATGGATGCCCCCACGTGTGCTTCATGTTTGGAGGCAGGTGAAGTGCTGACAGGGGCCCGGGACCGGTCCAGAGCAGCAAGGAGGTTGCCCACACCGCCTGTACCCATCGCACCAGTGCCTAGGCAGCATCCCTGGGGCTCTAAGCCCAGAGCTTCTCTTGCTGGGTGAGGCTGGGACCAGCGGAAGTGACGAGGCTTGTCCTTCACGGGGTCTCCCGGGGGACGATGCAGGTATGAAATAGCAGTGCTCCCTCATTGACAGCGCTCCAGCTCCGCTCCTTAAACTGCCGGGAGATGTGGTGACTACAGCACGCTGCCAGACGCCCCCCTCCCCAGAGCCAGCGGGGTTTCAGCCTGCCTTGAGCCCCTTGCAGCCCTGCCTTCCTATGATGCTATGCATGCAGGGGGGCTTACGGAGGCAGGGGTTTTCCGTGAAGTCTCTCAGGAACTTCTCGCACTCCTCCTCCAAGTTGCCGCTCCCTTTGCAGGAACACCAGGGCGACACCGTGATGCTGCTGGTGCTCGAGTCGATGTAATTGGGCGTCATGTCGAATCCTGCCAGGAGGAAGGAAGGTGAAAGGGAGTCAAGAACAGGACGGCAACACCCAAGCAGCAGAAGCCTCCCTCCAACCACTACTTGCTGGGCTCCGGTGCGCACGGAGCGAGAGCGATGGGCAGGCCTTACTGCTCAGCTGTGCTCCCAGGCTCTGCAGGGAGGTGGCAGAGATATGCCCCGTGTCTCAGCTAAATTCCCACGCGTACATGGCCTTTACTCTCAACTACACCACCATCCAGTATATCTCCAGCAGAAAGGGGCTGTACGGGTAACCGTGATGCAGATCCCTACCCTTTCCCCAGCCACCATCACGCTCCATGCAACAGCCCCCCTCCCACACCCAAACCCAAAGGACAAAGCGAACGGACTTACCAATCATCCCTGCATAGGAGCCCAGACAGGCCTGGTAATTATCGCCAGGGCAGCTGGTTAGGGACTGGAAAGAGACTTGACAATTTGTGTGAAAATCCGCCAGTCTTGACCTGGTGACAGAACACAAAGGGGAAAACTGCGCTGTCACTGGGTCTGATTTTTTTCTTCCCCCGCCCCCACTTAAGAAATGGTAAATTCAGTGAGAAAAGGGAGGCTGGACAGGGGAAGGAAAGAAGAGTTAAAAGGTCGTGATGGTGATGACAGGGCAGCTGCAGTCTAGATTTCATGACCTCATTCTGTCATTGCTTGAGTGGGATTTGGACCATCGCTCACACCCAGGGCAGGAGATGTTCTCAAGAGCAGCCTCCCACTTTTGGACCTGCTAACTTCAGTGGAAAGCACTGGCATGTAGTGGAGGTGGGTTTCTACAGGATCAGGGTCAGAAGCAATACCTGACCCTGACATTAGCTCTGCACTGCAGACATCCCCTTGGGATGCAGAGGAAGCCCCAAAGACTGGCGAAAACAAGGGAGTTCCCAGCTCTCTTTGCACCCTCCTGCTGCGTTGAGGAGGGCAGCCTGGACATGTTCTCTCTACAGCGTGGCAGATTTCCAGAGGAGCAGAGAGAACAGCTGAAGCATGCCCATACCCCAGCACAGGCTAGCATCTCGCAGGGTGATGCCCCAACGCTTTGTCACCTTCAGAGCCTCCTCACTGGAGCACCGCTCTCCTAACAAGACTTTTTTTCCCTAATATCCACCCTTGCTGCAACCGCAGACCCGCTCCGCCATCTGCCACCATGGAGGACTGTCCATCTTCTGCAGGTATGGCTACAGGGAGCCCTGGGACATCCCTCCCTCTTCAAACACTGCCTGACTTAGAGTCAATCTCACATCTCCATTTGGCTGCACTACTATTGGCATCACTGCCTGACTATAAAATTTCACTGCCTGGTTTTATCTGAACCCTGAAATGTTAAAGCACAGCACAATTAACAGGCCCGAGGTGGGCCGGCTTTGCAACGTACCAGGAAAAGAGGGAAACCTGGTGTTGCAGGGGTCCCAGGGTAGAGCACAGGGCTGAGCCCATTTGCCACTAGACCCTGTCCTGCCTTTCACCCGTGGCCCCGCGCACCAGCTTGGCACTGCAGAGCGGTGGGGAGAGAGGAAGGGCGCAGAGCCAGCCGGGAGAAAAGGGAAGGGCAGCAATGGTGTTGAAAATATGAAATCCAGTACATAAACTCAAGCCTCCACCAGCAGAGTTAAAACAGTATTTGGTTTTGCAAGACAGAGAGCACTGAACTGTGACTTAACCAGACTGGGAAACTATCAGTGCAGTGTAGCCAGTTCCCTAACCCCCCTCTTTCTTTCCCACTGCAGACGAGACCTTGGCTTTCAGAGGAGCATCTCTCCTGAACTCTTTAGAAGAAAGAGCTGTTGGCTTCCTTGCTAATTAAATGTCATCATCCTACAACGGGGTATTGAATGATTCGATAGCACCTGCCTAGAGCCATCCGAATTGATCAAAATAAAGGGTGGAAGTTGTGTTATGTTTTAAACAGGAATGATTAGATTCCAGAGGGGTTTGATCAAATTAAATGGAGAGACAAACAAAGCGGTGGCTGAGCAAAGTGGAAGGACCTGCAGTGTTTATACAGTGCCTTTCACCACGACGGCCCTTGGAGTGCAGCAGGGGGACGAGTGACAGGCCCAAGGGAAGTGCAGCTGCCTCTGGGGCAGATGCACGACGTTCGTATGCAGCCAGCAGGGCACCATCGTTCGAGGCAAAGGGCAGGCAATAAGAAAGGGAGGTAAGTGGGAGAGGGGTGTAGCCTGCCCCACCCTGCGCTCAGCAGGTGGTCACCATGGGGTGGTTGCCAAGGATGGAGAAGTGTGGCACTCCACTGAAAAAGCAGCTCGCAGAGAGTTTAAGGAGCCCATCTCCTCTGTACGATGTACCGCAGGCTTGTTCTGCTACTTCCCAAGCCCTTGGTTGTCTATGTTATGCTCACATTTGCACATCTACCCAATAGCATCGGGGCGAATTATTCTCCTTTCCCCCTCTGGCTGGCTTTCTGACCCCTCACCGCCTACTGCCAGGCACGTTTCCAGGGCAAGGTCAGCCTCTTCATCTGGCTTATTAATACATTCCTCACAAGAAGACTCGACTCGGGGGCACTAGCATGCTCTAAATGATTCGCAATACTAAATAACAACACTGCAAAGAAATGCACCATTTAATTCACTGATAAATTTGGGTCAGAGATATCCAGGACAGCTGCTTCTGCTCTGCACCGAGAAGAGCAGTCTTGTGGTTAAGGCAACAGACTTTTGTGTTAACTCTGAATAGGGACCCACACAGGCCATTAGCATGGGGAAAAGAAGGGCTTTTATCTCTCCATACCTCACTTACTGATCCCCAACATGAGGATAACCACCCTTCCTTTTTCCTGATCTCAGTACCTTTGCACTGTAAGATCCTCAGGGCAAAGACTTGCTCTCCCCAGATGAGACAGCCCAATTAGTCCTGAACTCAGCTGAGTGCTCCCCATGTTGCTCTTTGTATATGGCCTGGATCCAATCTGCCGCTTCCCATCAGCACTTTTCCCTGTAGGAACGAAGCCAGGTGGCTTCTTGTGCCCCAGACTCTCTTGGTTTTCAAGGTCTGCGACAAGCCAGGGAACTGGCTGCAGTTTCGGGTCTGCGAGAAGGAAAGCCCTGCCTTCAGCCGGAGGGTTAACACTACCACTGCTACTGCCAGATCATGAACTATGGAGCTGCTAATGCTAAAAGGTCCCAGAGGGAACCCGGATTTGCCAACCTGGCCTTGTAAAGGGAAACGAAGACATCTTTCTCCTCCCCTGGATAAAATGTTCTCTCTCTGAAGCGAGACAGGGCAAATATAACGGGCTCCCTTGATTCATTACCAGCCTGGAAACGAACAGTGAGGTATGATGCAGCTCTCCAGAATTAATGACTTTGGATATCGCCTTCTCCAGGATGCCTCACCCCTGCTAGTCTTAAAGCTCCCAGGCAGATGAGGCTCTACTACAGGGTACCAGTGCTCAGGCAGGAGCTTCAAAACACATCAGGCCTGATTCTTGCTTAGGCAAAGGCTCTTTCTGCGTCAGCCTGGAAGGACGTCAATGAATAAACGGGCTTCTCAGAGCAGCCTCTTTGCAGGGTGCCCTGCCTGGCTGGTCCTGTCCCCAGCCCCTGGGTGTCAGGGATTCACTCTCCTACAGCCATTTTCTCTCGTGCCAGCCGGCCAAGCAAAGGCAGCAGGATTCAAGCACTGAGACGTACCCTACCTAATGCGGGACCGTTTCAGCCGTCTCCTGCCTTCGACTTACAATAGATTGAGCAATATTCATCACCTTTGGCTCCACCAAGCTGGAGCGTCTCCCTGCAGTGCAAGAGGAACACAAAGGGAAAGCATCCTAAGACCAGCTCTTTAAGGGCAAAGGGGAAAATGGCAGGGCAGCAGACAGCAGAGGACAGACAACAGGGGCAAGAGAAAGGGGAGACTGCTCTGGCCGCCAACTCCCCAGCTTTCCTTTCCTGACTTAGTCTCCAGATAGGCAGCCCAGCTGTGTGAGGGGAGCAGGTGTGGCTGTACTGGCGGTCACCCTGCGTTAGGAAGATGCTGACATTGATGCACGGTGCCGGGGGCTGAAGTTCAGTCCTTTCCCTCCCACGGAAATGCCAAATGCAAAAACAAATCCAAATGTCCTGGCTCCCAAACGGACACGCCCAGCTGCCCATATCATCAGCCTTCTCAGAGGAGGAAGTCGACCTACAGCCAGCTCCAGGGCCAGCCATTCGAGTTTAGTACCACTTCCTATGTCCGCACCAACCTAACCTGAGAGTGCCCCATGCCTCTTTAGCAGCGGACACTAGGGTATCCCAGCAGGAAAAGGCACCTGCGCGCAGCGGGCTGCACAAAGCCGGGATGGATTCCAGGGGCTCGGTCCTGCTAAGTGCTCGCCTTTATCCAGGAAAGCACTTTGGCAAACGCTGGACTTGAAGCACATGCACAGTCCTGCTGAGGTCAGTGTCTGCTTTTAAAACCAGGCCTATCCTGAAGTGCTTTCCGACCCTGGGTTTGCAGTACTCAGCACTTGAGTCCTTTAACATTACACATTCACTGAGGAGTCAAACAAGGCTCTTAGCTGGGTTTTAACCCCAGCCACCATACCATCCCCCATTTACCCGGGCCTGTAAGCAATTTCAGCCTGGCTTACAGCTCATGCATAGGATTGCAAACGCCCAGCAGCGGGTGCAGAAATCATAACAACACGGGGACATGGGTGTAGCTTTGCTGGCCCCAGCCTAAACTGACCTGCATGCTCAGACCCAGATGTCAATTAGGTAGGCTAGCTCCTCTCCATGAACATAGCCTAACGCAGCAAGGAAGCCCCTAGCTCAGTCCCTAGAAGAACATGCGGCATCCCTTTTTATGTGCTTGTCAGCCATACAAATCCTGCTCAGCTTTTGCTTGTGCCACGCTGCTGTAGGGTAACGGGTAGATGCATCGCCTGCGCAGCTGAATGGTGAATTTCTCCATTTCTGCACCCATTCTACTTCCAGAAAGTAATTTACACAGAGACAGTTCTTCCATCTCCCCAAGAAGATGCAAGAAAGCTCAGGACACAACCTGCCTTCGGGGAATGTTTCTTCCTGATCCACATTCATGCCCCAAAGCACGGGGTTTCCTATTCCTAATTGCATCCGTGCTCTAGACAGGGTCCGTGGCACAGGAATACAAGCGAGTCGCTCCTGTTGGAAGTAACGTGGGATGCTCAGACTAACACGTGCAGGCTGCTCATAGAAACACTGATGAGCTCTTTCTGCTGAGAAGGGCAGAGGCTGAAAAGGCAGCAGCTAAGTTGTGTACCATCGGCACGGACAGCCGTGCATACAGGGCCCCGGGGGAGGACAGAACGCCAGCTCCTATCACTCTGCTGTGGCCGGGTCCCCTCATCACACATCCACCCATCACAGCGCCGCTGAAGACACTCCTTGGAGCCAGCCGCGTCAGCTCTGGGTGTGAAAGCCGCAGATGCCTCCCATAGAGGTGGGGTATGGGAAGGAGACAGAGCAGTTGTGCA